TCTTCCTGCTTCTCATTGATATCTGTTCAGTTTTGAAGATCAGTAAAATCTCTAGAAATCTTGACTATTAATAAATCTACTGTGGATAGGCTTTGTGGCTTTTTCCTTCGTGTTTCTATTTAGTGGCTATAACACAAAGTAATTCCCTAAAGTGACACACTTTTAAAGCATTTTTTATTGTAATAAGAACAGATAACAGAAGATCTACCCTCTTAACACAAATTTAACCACGCAGGGTTAATGATCAGCACAATGCTGGACTACAGATCTCTAGAACTTACTCATCTTCAATAACTGAAAGGTAACACATTCATATGCGTGTTTAAATAGTGACAAATCAGTTTTTTATAATTTTAGTAAGGCTACTCCATTAAATATAGTCAATAATGTGGAAGAAACAATACTTTGTGATTTGAACAGAAAAAAAAAAAAACCTGAAAGCCTGAAATTTTTAAGAACTGATAGTTTCCAATAATATTTTCCTTTTCATTAAAAAGCAACAAATATCTTTTGATGCGGACACTCTCAGCTTGAAAGGAAATCTACGACAGAGTAGCAAACATGAACAACAACTAACTCATTTATAACCAGTGACAACCAAAACCTATGAAGTTTTTAAAAGAATGTGATTGTTGTCAGAAGGAATCGAGTCCCGCAGTGCAGTTGTTCAGCTCTGGTTGCTCTCAGAGCCATGGCTGAGAGGCACAGGGAGCACTCCTCCAAGGCTGGTGGGCATAGACCAGCAAGAAGTGAATTCTGCATACTGTACGGATCATCGCTCAGTTCAGGGCAGTCAGATTGCATCTGGGATCAACCAATTGTGCTTCATGAAACCGTCAGCCCTCATTTGTGTCTGGCTGTTTTCTTCTGTCCAGCTGTAAACAAGGCCAGCTCCAGTTCTCTTCATACCCTGATCTGCATGGTCAGACCAAGTCAGTAGCCTCAGAGCTCAAGTGCAAGTTCCTTCTTGCAGACAACAGTTCCTGCGCATACTGGGAAGTCACAAAGAGAAGCAACTTGGGAATGACAGAGTTAGGGTCCCTTTTTGGAAACGCATACCTTAGATTCCTACACATACTGACGTGGCATGGCTCTACCATGAAGAAAAATTAGGTGTTCCTAATAAGAACAACTGTTTTTTTCAGCAGACTAGCTCAGCAGATTCATCTTGCCGGGGAGGTGGGGGTGGTAGTGATTGTGTTTTGTTGTTTTACTGCTCTGGGGCTTTGCTTGGCTCAGCCAAAAAAGACATGGATAGAAATACTGTCAATCTGGTCCCACTCCAGGAACCTAATCATGCCTGAATGGCTCGGAGGAGTGTAATGATGGCAACATTACAGGAACAGGTATGTTGGATTCCGTTCTCATCCACTTCGGCCACAGTGTCGCCTTTACAATAAAGCAAACTACGATTTTGAAGGCACATCATCTCAATCATCAAAGGGAGGGGGTGTCACTGAAGCCCTTTTCCTTGGCAAGTGGCACAAAGGTAATGTTTAGTATTCACTACACTGAATTCTCCTAGCCAGCTGGTGTGTCCCTGTTAAGACTTTCATTTATGCAGCTTGAGCTGGAACCTTTTTTGTTCTCCCAGTCTATTACTTTGTCGATTCAAGGGATAACAGCCAAAGTGAAACAGCTTGCAATTTGCACCTGTCTGCTCTAAGCATTCCATGTTAGATTGCTGGGAGAGTAAACCCTTCACTGCTAATGAGAATGAGACTGGGTAGGGCTGAATGCAGTTTTGTTGGGGAGGTTATAGGATATTGTCCTGTTTTTTATTTTTCTTTTTTTGTAACTGAATTGATGAAGACCTCCCTATTTTCATGTTTAGAATCCCAGTAGTAAGAGACAAATACAATTCCCCCACAAAAAAAACACACACACACACACACAAAGTTGTGTACTCTTTAAAGAAAACTTTAAGTGTCATGTAACTAAGAATTAAATTAATATTCAGCCCGAGTTGCCTCAGATAAGAAAGCAAACATTTAAATGCTAAATTATTTCCATGTGGGTGTAAAAATAAAATACCTGCAGAGACCTTTACTTTGCAGCATTGGCAAGGAAAGAAAGTAAATTTTAAAAATTTTAGACGTATTCCAGAAATAGGACTAGCTTTGGTAATAATGCCAAGGGCCCAAAAATAAACTTGAGATTTCTGCTTATATTGCCTTTGAAAATTTAAGCTACTGAATCCAAAATAAAAATTCAAGGATGTCACTTTAAAATCTTACCTAGATAGATAGAAACATCTTTATCCAACTGATCATCATGTGAATCACAGAATGAACTCTCCACAATTGCACAAATGTCAGCACCTATGATTCTCCCAAACCTTTTCCCAATTCTCTGCATCTTCCCTAGCTTTGATTCTTTCAAGGAATTCTATCTGTGGATTAGCATCTATTTTGAAAGAATTAAACTTGTTGAGATGAAAGAGTTTTAATCATGGCTTCTGACGTTTTCCCCAAACCTGAGGATATTAAAAAATTCAAAA